GTTATTAGTGACTCGAATTGAGGCAGGGATGTGTGAATCCCTAGAGCTTTAGGACCATATCCCGTCTGAATGAATCTGAACCATTAGCAGGGAATTGGCACTCTAAATCTTCCTCTAGCTATATCCTTCTTTCTACCCTGCTCTGCCCTTGAATTTCTTTCTTTCTCTTGGGTTGTTTCATTAATGATCTAGAATGTAATAACAGCACAAAGGACAGTTTTTGAATCCTCCCTCTTTGAAATACTTGACTTCAGAGCTCTTTTTTTTTTTTTTTTTTTTTTAACTGCTACACAGGTTTATAATCCTTTTTATCTATGCAATAGCTGAATGACTTCATTAGCATGATGCTACCTTGTTGCTATACTGAGTTTAGCAATCTTTTCTGCTTCAGCAATACTGCAATACTACCTTGCTGATTTATGGGTTTTTGGAGAGGAGAGGTTAAGAAATATTTTGGATTATTTCTTCCTGGCAAATTCCTGGACCATTTGGAGACTCAGTAAAGCTATTGGATGTATTTTTTGGTGTTGCAAACCCACGTTTTTCCTGTCAGTCACCAAATAGCTACAGCTTTTGACAACTGTAATGAGGCCTTTGATAATACTTATGCTGCCTGTAGCAAATGGGCTTATTGTGGGAGCCAGAAACCCTTTCAGGAAGCCTCAATTTCAGATCTGAGAGAAGCAGGAGAACACAACCTATAGCTAGAAAACGCCTCCTGTCCCACCTAATGTGGAGCCTCACAGGAGGACCCCTTGAGTCTACAAACACTGTGGAAACCATTTGGTGCAGCTAACATTTTTCAGCTACTTTGAAAAACTAATAAAATCTTTTCCTCTGATATTCTTTCCATGTTGCTGTAAAGCCTAAGGTAAGACAGTAAAAGAGAGTGAAGGAGCTTGGGGCATACTTTAAGGGAAGAACAGGTAAGAAAACTCTTCAGGTCAAACAGTTATCTTACTTAAAAATAAGTCTCAAATTCGATAGGCTTGTGAGCCTAAGGCAAGCTTAATTAAACTTAAAGGAGTGCAAAAATAAGCATTTCAAATGCTGTTTTGGTTCTCATAAACCTGAGTAAGCCAAAATATGGATTATTCAATTATTTATGGCTGTGGGATTTGTTTTGTGAGCATTTTCCTGCTTAGCCCAGATTTTCAGCATCCTTCGTTTGGCTGTTTCCATAGGAGGAGAGGAAGGGACTTCAGGATTTGATTTAGAGACTGTGTGCTCCAAGTCACCCATTTTGGTGTCAGGCTGGTTGTGGAAATGCTGGAAAGTGGTTAGCAAGGAGGAGGTGATGCCCTGATAGTGCTTTGGATGTTCACCACAAGCTCTCTCTCTGCAGCCGTGCTCTCTCTTCTGTGTCTTGGGAAACGGAGTAGCCACCTGGGAAGGATTGCGGAGCCTCAGTTTGCAGAGCAAGTTCATTAGGAAGGTGCAATCTGGCTACACCATGGGCTCTGTGGTCTGAAAGCTTGTCACTTGTGAAGGAGTTCAACATGAGAGCCTGGCAGCCTGGTGTTTGCTTTCCTGTAGTAAAATAGTCTTTAAACAGCTCTGCATAACTAACGTCTGCATTGAGGTACCTTTCTCCCTTTTATTTCTTAATTGAAGCACACGTTGCTTCATCATCAGTTTAGCTTACTTTTATTTGCCTGTTACGCAAAACTAAAAGCTTTGAAGGTCTCTTGTAATGGATTTATATAACACAAGCAGCTACCTAGCCTGGCAGTGAGACAAATTAGTCACATCCCAGCTCTTACATGCCTAGTCCTTAGTTTTTCCATCATCTGAGAGTGAGGGAGAAAGAAACAGATGATCATCATTTTGAGATAATGGGGCTATTCACTCAAATTTCTAAGTAGCCATGCAGAAGACCTTATATATGCTATGTGGATTAGAAGAAACAGCTCAGCTATATTTTTCAATGTCTGTCTTTGGAAACCAGTGGCCTTGATAATGGTTGGTGGCTAGCCCAGAGAACCCTCAACTCTGTTCACCTTCTCAGGTCAGCTTTTCCAGCACACCGGGCCTCTCTGAGTGTTGTCACCTGAAGACCAGACACAAGGTCACCAAACTTAATGAACATAATGGAAGAGTGGGTTCTAGAAGAAGGTGTAGGAAGCAGGGAGGATCAGTAGATAAACTGGAGATGTGAGGATAGGAAGATGGGTAGGGATCAGTGTAGCTTCAAGGAAATGGAGCACTCACTGTTCTGCATCCTCTCAGTCTTGCCCAGTTGATTGCATCAGTGTTTTCTTTCTGACAATCATTATCCCCTTTATTTGCAGAGCCCAGCCAATGCAATCTAAATGATGTGTATTTGGTCCCAATACAGGCATCCAACCCACTAACCTTGACAGTGATGTGCCCAGTAGCAGATGGTTAGGAAGAGTGTAAGAATAGACAAGGTTATAATGATATTTCTGTGGTAAAGCCTCCCAGCTGCAAGCAGCTTAGGGATTTCAACACCCAGAATCAATATATTTGTGTTTATTAAATGTCAATGGGTTTTTGTTCCAGGAAGCTGTGTAATGTTAAGTTTAAGATAAGATTTTAAAATTATATAAACCTCTCAGGTCTACAGCATCCCGAAGGAATCCTACACAATAGATGTGAAAGCATATTACCTATAACCGGTTTTGAACCTTGTACCTGCTGTCTGATCTTATGTCCCCTGTCCTTGTACTAGAAGAAGAAAGGAGCAATTATTCTGCTTACATATTTTCTGCCATTCTTGTCTGTACGAGTTTTTATATTCTCTCTTCCCTTTTTTTCCAGAAATGGAAAGTCATCACATTAGTTGTTAGTGAAACCATGCCATTTTCTGATTACTTCTACCTTTTCATTCAACTTTTTGTAGTGCTTCTGTGTCCATTTTCAAGTGGAGGGAGAATGTAGATGAAGCACGGATTTTTACAGCAGCTGGATATTCTGTTTTTCTTTATCCTGTTACTGTTAAGTCCTAATACTCATTTGCTGTCTTTGGACCACTGATTAAGAAGATTACATTCCTTAGGCCTTCAGCTGTTACTACTATCACTTTTCGTTATGTCTATCAGCCTTCACTTAAGGATATTGAATTTTATTTTATTGCCCATAAAGTCCTTTTGCCATTCCTTCTTATTAACTTGTATGATTACATATACTCTTCAGGGGAGATGGTATCCTATCAAACTGATGCCTTGCTGTTCACCCGTTCTCTGCACTATCTGTGAATTATAGATTGGCACAAATTGTAGCACAGATGCCTGTAGGACTCTGCTGCTGATCTCTGTTAAGACCACTGTGTTTTAGCCCGGCTGTTGGTTTTGTTATCTAACTCATTACTCAACTGTGCAAAGACCTTCTCTCTTTCTGGGACCTTAGTTTCTAAGGCTCTGATAAAGGGTTCAGTAAAGTTGTACCAACCAAAATACGGAAATCTGAATAAATAGAGGTTATCTGGTGGAGAAAGTCTGTTTGACTTAGGCAAAGAAACATTTTGGGCTGCTTGTTGTGCCAAGTCCAGGATTTTTCTAGTTCTTCTCTGGTGTAGGCACAGCAGCAGGGCAATGGTTGCCTTTGTGGAGGCATTTGCTGTCCCTGGCACTCTGCTTCCCAGGGAAATCACCTGGAGCTGGCTTCACTAGCCTTTGGCCCAGAACTTCTGTTTTGTGTTGGGAGAGTTGCTTAATTGCTACATTCATTTTCCATATTTATAGTATGGGAAATAAAACTTCCTATCTCACAGGCATAGCGTAGAGTTCAAATCAGTAAGCAGCATACTTCTTGCTGGAGAGCCCTGGATTTCTAGAAGCCGAGAAATGCAAAATATTGCAAATATTTGATCTAGTTGTACTTGAACATTAGTGTGACCTATGCTCCAAAATCATTTAAGAGTTTTTGCCAAATCCCACAATAGTCACACCAGGAATAACTAACTTGTTAGCGAGCAGCCCGCTGTGTGACTGCTGGTCAGGTGTGCACGCGGGGAAGCAGGGAAGGGCCCCCACAGTTTGCCTCGGTAGGCCTCTATGATCCCAAAGGCAAAAATCATTGATTTAAATGAAGAAGTTTGTTGATAAGCTTTTACAAAAGTCCCTGTTGTTCCTGACATTCAGAACCTGAAAGACTTTGGCGTTTTTGCTTTCTGATGTCACATAAATGACTTTGGAAAACCTCAATACCTTTACTATTTGAATGTTAATTGCAAAATTACTCTTTTTCCATTTACTGTGCCTTGTGTGCTTTAAGCAGTGTATCACTGTCCACCTTTTTCACTAGCCATGCAGAAGCTATTTTAAAACTTGTTCATGATGATATGCTGCTGACGTGATTTTCAAGTGTAACGCTAGAGGAGTGCTTCTTCTCGAGCTACACAACATGCCATTGTAGGGCTTTTGCACCCAGGAGAAAATAAAACGGGTCAAAATAGCAAAATACGTCAAACCTCAGTAAGACGAGTATCTATTTTAAGTGGAAGATGAGAAATGAAATAGTAACTGTTAGTACTAAAATGAGAAGTAGTGCTGTTTGTGTATTCAATTGGTCTGAGTTTGTAATGGGGCTCTGAATTCTGCTGCCGCCAGACCTTGTACTGCTGCTGTCAATCACTTTTTTTTTTTTCTTTTTTTCCCCTTTCTTGAAAGGCTCACGGCAAATTTATTTTGGATAGTTTCTTAACAGGTGTTTCCTTGACGTTGCGAATGCCTTAAATGAGAACCTTGCTTTATGTCCGGAGCTCTCAGCTGAAATCACACGGCGGGCTGACACAGGCCCTCGCGTGTTTACTCATCTGCGCCCGCGCTGACAGCAGATCCTCGCCGATTCCCACAGTTGGCCTCGGCTGGACAGGGAGCAGATGTTGGGGATTACGGGGAAGGATTCGGAGGGGCTTTAGGGCTGTGCAGTTGCGGAAGTAATTCATTGTGGAGACGCAGACAGGGCCCGCCGCACCCGCACTGAGGAGCTTGCTGGAATAGGCCTCGGTGGATTTCAATATCCAAATCAAAAACAAATGTTTTCCTGGTACCTTTTAATTAAAGGGAAAGCATAAATCAATATAATAAAGTCAATGCACCAAGCGGTGTCGCATTTCTCCAGCCTTAACAGAGAAGTTGGCGGTGTAGTCGTAGTGCCTCGCTCACTCCTGAGGCAGAGGCCCCAGGGGCTCCATGGTGGCGCATGGCATGGAGGGGGTGAAGCTGCATGGCCCAGCCTGGCACTGGGCTCTCAGGAGAGCCTCTTCACCTCCAACTAGAGCTTGTGGCCTTCTCTGTCATTTTGCAGATGTGTTACAAATCAGAGATGGTTTCCTGTGGGACAGCTTCATCTTCATCTGTTCCATCTGTCTCTGACTCTTGTGTTTTGAGTATTGTATGCTCAGAAATCAGCCATCTGTGGAAAAATGGGTGGCAAGAGATGACCAAGACTGGGTGGTGGAGATGATTTGTGTCACGTCAGTAGGTGTCTCCTGCAGACATCGAACATTGCACAATTTGCCTGTGACAAATTGTGGCACAATTTGTCAGGCATCTTTGTAGGCCACGAAGGTAACTTTTGGCTGCAGTTCATGTATTTATAGGTTCAGAGCAGACAGCTGTAGCTGTGTTTTACTACGTGATGTGGAAAAAAGAATTTATGTAAATCACTACTCTTCCCTATTGTTCTATTGTTACGAAGATTTTGGTGAAGGGTGAAAGGAATATGGGAGAGACAGGATGAAAATCTAGGGTTTGGCAAAGGTCTGGTGGGAATGAGTGCAAATGCACTTAGTACGTGCTAATACAACAAACAAAGATATGGTGGCTGTAGGAGGAGGTCATATGTGCTTAAGCAATGAAGTAAATTGCTCCGGGAATGAAAACCAAGGTTTTATGGGAAGTGGTACCCATTTGTGGTATGACTCCATTGATCTGAGACGAATTGCAGTCATTCTGGAACAACCCAAGTCTGTAGGGCCTTGAAGAGAGACAGTGGGACAGTAAAGAAAACTTGGAGCTAACTGTGTTTGGGATGTGTTTCAAGAAGAGCCATTGAATATAGTAACTGAGTGAAGATAAAATCCTAGGTCAGTATTTAGTCACTGAGCTAATAAACTACTCTTTCTGGAGAAATGCAGTGTGGGGAAGTAATGGCTTATCTGATGCAAGTCTGCATTGATATAACAGATTGAAAACAGACAAAAGATCTATAAAATCAAATTTACAGGATGTAGTTTTGCAGAGCCCTCTCTGTGGAAGTGAAGTGCTTTCAGCTGCTATTGGCTTCAGTAAGAAGTCAGCCTGCTCAATGATTTATAAACCTAGACCCCAATTTGAAAAACGGGGAGAGATCTGCTCTGTTACTGGCCTAGTAGTTACTAGAGCTAATTCAGGCTGTATTATCAGGCATTTTCTGGAGCTCCTGAGCTATTGAGAAATCTGCAAGATGTAAGACACAGGGGACAGTGGTATCCCAGTGAATCTCGGGCTATATCAGGAAATAAGTTAAAATATCAGAAAACTTTCCATTCATGGGTCCTAGTGCTGTAGCTCACTGCAGGCAACAAACCACGTGCAGAGTCACAGTACTTTCTGACATGCTGCCTGCAAGCTCAGGTGTCTGCGTCCCCCATCTAAATTGCTGGATCAGGGCTCTGGAGAATAGCAGTCTTGCTAAAATCAACTTAATTTGCCAAATGTGTGGACAAGGTGAAGAATCTAATTTTAACTAATGCTGATGAAAGCTTTGCCACTGACTGTTCCAGATCTTTGCTATGTATGTGCTGGAGAACTCGGAGTTTGGAGAACTGGAGGTTTGGTCAACAGCATCACTTGGAAAACAGAATTATTTAAATCATCCAGAAAAATGGATAGTTGCCTAATTACACTTATCTGAAATATTTAAATTTGTAGCTGAGTTAATGTTGATGAGTTAAGTTTTCTTTCTGAATACACCTTTTTGAGGTGGTCTGCAAAGGCACAAAAATGCTTGCCACAAAGTGGCAAAACAAATAGAAGAGGAATAAACACAGACTTCAAAGATTATTTTTAAAAATGTGTGTAAAACAATCGTGTGAGATGGAGGACGTGTTATTTGATGCTAACATAAAAAGCTTTTTTTTTTTTTTTTTTTCCCGAATAGTACTTGAACACTTGTTTAAAAAAATATTTTCAAAACACTCAGTGGGATAAACCATTTTCTACTTTTCCTCTGAGGTTAGGACACGTGCCCAAATTCATACCATGAAACCATGTTAGAGGTGGAATAACACTGAAGTTCCTGTAAGTGATCTTTTTGGTGCATTAGGTAGATCATCTTTTTGCTCAGGGATGCTGCTTTGCTAGTACTGGGGATGGGGGCATATCTTGAAACAAATGCATTTTGTGCGAGGAAGCCAGTGTTGGTGCAGTAGCAGAGTTGGAAAATTTCAGTGCACAAAGCCAGGAAATTTGAAGGTTGTGACTCTTTTTTTGTAGGTGTAACTTGGCAGGTAGTACAAATATCTTATATCTTCATTGGCAAGAAATGGCTTCTGTTAAAACATAATTATTCCCTTGGAGTTTTAAATTCAAAGGTGGGTTCTGTAAAATTTAATTTTTTTCCCCTGCAGCTTTCATGATAAAGGCACAGTTATTAAATAAGGGCAGCTACTATACAAGAGTGGTTACTATTAAAACCTGCACAGAAAAAGTTATAGGCACCAAACAAGAGTGGTTATATGCTGAACATGACTTCAAAAAGAAGAAATGTATTGTAAAGTATAAATTTATTTTTATATGCAGAGTAAAAGTTTGTACTGACGCACATGGAACAGTGAACAAGACAGACCATTTCGTTGTCAGGTCTATCAAAATCACTGTTTCAGATTTACGTTAAGCACAGGCATAAATACTAAGAATATAATTTGGGGGGGAGAAGGAAAGGAATTGCAAGTACTCTGAAAAATAAAAAATAAAAACATGTAGGAGTGACTTGGCTTCACACTGGGAAGCACACTGATGCAGATTTCATTTGGGCTCAGTGAAATTACGGGAGCATGGCAGGTCTCTCTACACAGCATCCTCAACTGTGAGCTCATCTTAAACTGCAATAAAAGAAGCTTATGTTGTGTTGCACAGCTGTGTAATTGGAGGCATCTAAGAAAACTCAGCCTGGGCTATGATTCAGGATAATATCGTGCCCGACTCAGACAAGAGAAAGTAAAGCTTGGATGCCATCCTCATCATCCTCTGCACCACTTTTTGTTTTCTTTTTCTTCAAGGTGTTCAGGGCCCACAAGAATTCACGTTAAGGAAGGAATGACTTCTAATTAGTGACTTTTAATTTGTGCTGGGGAGCTCAGACTTATACAGAATTATTATTTTTTAATATTTTTTTTAACCAGGAAGAATAATTAGCCCCTAGTGCCATTTACCTAAAGGTTTACTGAGGCATTTCATCCACTTTGAGGAGAAGGTCCTTTTGTTAATGAGATGTGTGCTCTCTAATAAAATTTCAGCAATCCACTGATATCGATTTATGTGGAACATGATTTTACTACCAATTTTTAACGAAGAAATTTCTCCAAATAACTCTGACGAAACATTCGTTTACATTATTTCTTTAGCTTAATAGAACCAATCATGAAAAAAGGAATGATAGGCTGCATGAAACTGCATCAGAGTTTATGCTGCCAGTGAACCATAAAATCAAATTAAAACACCATCTGATTAATTTCCTTAATTCTCTACTATCAGAGTAATAATGAAAAGTAACTTGGGCAGGCTCCTTGTTTAATTGGCAGTGTTGTGTACTAATTAAGGAATGAGATATAGTAACTTTTCTTGGGCAAGGCTGCATATGTAGACTATGTTTTAATTGACACAAAACAGCTTAGTAACACCTTTTGGGATGTGTTCGCCCAATAATATTCATGGGAATTTCATTTATGTATCAAATACTGATTTCTGTAAATCACATTAAAAAGTAGAACTAAAAAAAGTGGTATTCCTCCATTATGGAAAATAGTTCCCAGCTAGAAAATGGAAGAGAGTAGAAGATCTGAGGGTTTCACTGTGCTCATAGGGTGCTTTAAATCGAGTTTCTCCAAAATGGTAGGAGTATTTGTGAAAGCTTTGGTATCGTATCACCAGCTCCTGGCATTTTCTAACTGTGAAAGGACAGTGTGTTGCTCAACCAAGCAATTTGTTGTTGTTGCGATTGTATTTTCTGGGGTTTCTGTACTTTAGCCTGTATTTTCATACTATCTTTTAACCATCAGAGCTAACAACTTCTTTTCTGATGCCTGTATATCAAAATCTCCTGGGCTTTAGTAGGGGCACCAAACTTTGTGGTAGTGTTGGCCTTTTTGTTCCTATCCTAGTACTTCTCCTATCCTTCGTCCACACGTTTTTCTTCAGGCTTTAAATTGAAACTAGCAATAAACTTGATCACTATGGCACGAAAGCTAGACAGTGGATAGGCTTCTTATTCTGGTCTTCCAGATGGTTTCAAGTATGACTGGCAAAATTAAGAAAAGGGGGTAAAATGTCTGAGAGAAGTATCTGATTTTCCTTCGCTCCTTTTACTGCTCTCAGGGGGAAGTGGCTGTATGAGCGGAGACTGGGAGAGGGAGGAAATAGGTTGGAGACTGGACCAATGTGTCATTGTGTTAAATCCAGCCAGCCAGTGAGGTCATTGTTTTCATCTGAGTCATTTCAGAACGAGACCTCTTACATTATGGAAAACATTGCACATCTCTAGTTCAGCCATGGAAACATCCAGCCAGCCTTTCAGGAGGAGAGCTCCGCTGATTGCATTCGAGGTACTCCTGGCTCCCAGCGGTGTAAGAAGGAGGGGAAAGCAAATTCTTTTGCCTCGTTTTTAACACTTTGCCACTAACCCAAAGGGGGTTATTCTTTAGGCACGCTTCCAGCCGAGATGCTTGTTGAGGAGGGAGTTGGTAAATCTGTTGATCACACCTGTCAGCCCTGAATCCAGTAAATCTGTCCAGCCTGGAGCTGGCTACGCTTATACTGGGGGCTGGGGGGGTTGTTCTTAAGCGCCGACTCATGCTGAGGCTAGATTATGTTCCAACGTGCAGAGGGAAAATCCTTGAGACTGCATTCTTGGATATTGATTATATTTCAGACTCAGGCTCCGGTAGGCTCAGTCTCTGCATAGTACGATTTAATTGAGGGGCTTGGGCAGTCTGCCCAGCTCTGCAATTGATTTGTGTGACCATGAGCAAACCATGTCATCTCTCCGCACTCGATTTTTAATGTGTATGGGCTTAAAGCGGGTCTGCTATTTGTAGCACTTTAAGGATCTTGCTGTATAATAATTACAACGTGATTTTTGTGTTTTGTATAACTGCACGTGGTAGAGATGCTGCTCATTCCACGTGAACTAATAGGAATAGTAAAAGGTTTTGTCTGAACCTAACAATTGCTCTTCTGTCATGGAAGTGGGAGAAAGCCATTGCTACTTTGTGCCTTCAGAGTAATTTATGAAAATGCCACAATCTCCCAGCTGTTTGCATGGCATGTGCTTGCAGTGTTAACATGTGGCAACTCCCGTGTCTTCTTAAGATCAATTCAGCCACTTGATGGATAAACATTTAATATTTTTACCCTTTCAAGACGAAGTCTTTTGAAAAAAAGAAAACTAACTAGTGCTGGCGGTAAAACATTCAGTCCTGAGAGGATCCAAAGCACACAGAGACCTCACGGAACAGTTCTCTAAGGGAAAGTGTGTTTGGACAATGGTCCTCAACCTGTATAGATGCATCAGTTGTTTGCAGGAGAGTTTGCACAGTGATACTGTTCATAATCTGTGATAGTTAATTTTTTTTTCACACATGGGATCTGTTCCTTCTCCCACTGAAGCTAGGATTCAGATTTATTCATGGAAAGCATTAAAAAAAAAGATGTCAATGCAGTTGATGACCTGAAGGTGAGCTTGGCTGCCTGCTGCATTAGCTGCAGAGGCAATGCGATGGGAGCTGTAGAGCCAATGCTTCTGGAATTGCACCTGCAGCTCATCAGCTGGATCCTTCAGTGCCATAGGCATCTGGATCAGTAGCATCTTAGTGATGTTGGTGACCATTTCTCATGCCATTATCATGGTACGTGAACCCCTCACAATCATCACGTGGCCCTTCTCTCCCTACCTCCTCCTTTCCCAAGTGCTGCCAAAGGCTGTGCCATCGCCCTCGTTTGATTGGTGAGGACCGAAGTGATCTGACTGTCACCATGCAGGTGACAGCAGACTGGATTTGGATCCCCGGTGGGATGCTGGCACTTGAATGAATGTGAAACCAAAGTCGAGTGGCTTATTGGATCCTTATCCATGCCATGTGGAGACGGTTAAGAACAGGATCCAGGCACACTTTCAGTAATAATTTTTGTGGCACTGTAAATACAAAGCCAGCTGTTTTCACAGTGAACTTATGTTTTTGCTGTCTGTTTTAATCAGAACTAGGATGCATGGGCATACGAGGAAATGAAGCAATAAAAAGCTTTTATTATTCGTAATGTGAAATGAAATTTTAACTCACTTTTCTTGAGCAACCGAAGGTGGATGAGATCCTCGTTTGGTTTGTCTGAACCTTCTGCTGGTCCCCAGTTGTTGCCCGGCCGTGCTGTGAGTACCAAAGCAGTCTGAACGCCTTCCCACACCTGAGCTCTTCCTGGTGTCGCTCTCCTGGCTGGGAGGAATTGTCGAAATTGGTGGCACCACCTATTGGCAGAGAAGTAAAAGTATGAATAATGCTTGGAGAAAATAGAATGAAATGTATTCCACATTGCAACGTAAGGTTTGTTTTGAACAACCTGTTTGCTTATTTGGTATCCTTATGTAGTCCTTGGTTAAAAAACCAACCACTCAGTCTGTGCTTTCTGAAATAATAGTGGTATAGAGGAAATCTTCCTAGTTGTTCTTACCAGCTAGTGCTATCACTTTTATTGTTGTTGGATTTAAAGATTTAAAAAGGTACCCATCCTTAAAAAGCAAGTTTACAACTGGTTAGAGGCATTATTTGCTAAACGATTTGCTCATCAGCCGAAATAACCACAGATAAACTTTTTCTTTCTTTTCTCATTCCCATTCTTTCATTTTCTCAAGTGTTACCATCCTCTAAAATGAGATGTTTTACCACGGAAGCCTCGGCAGTGCTTGGCAGCAGCTTAAGCTTCAGGGTCTCCAGCAGGAGACAGGCATTGGTATGGAGCGTTGGGGGGGTGCCGTGTGATAAATGGCTTCTGGTAGTTGCCTTCAGATGTGCTAGGCACTGATGTTTACACCAGCAGACAGGCTAAAAATGACTTGGTTGCCTATCGTGGGGCCTGTGTAATGACAGAAGCGGTCAAATTCTGATTGTGTTTAAAAAACAAACTTCGCCATGACCTTCCTGTTCGCAGGGGAACACGAGAAGGGCTGTGAAGGCTTCGGTGCGATCTGTAGGTGTCCTGACCATCGCTTCTCTTCATAGCCTGATTGGGGAACATCCCAAAAACGCTGGCTATGGATGTGCCCACCCCACGTTAGGTGGCTTCCAGGGGATCCTCCTGCTGGGCGAGGGGATGGCGTAACCCTGCCGGAGGGGAGGCAGAGCTCAGCTCTGTGCCTGCAAGGCGAACCAGTTCGCTGCCAGGCAGCTTAGCAGACATATAACTGCAGGAGGAAACTAGAAACGAGCAGGGAAGGAGCCTTCCAGATGAGCTCAGGAACGGAGCAAAACTTGGAGCAGGTTGTGTGGAAAAAGGCTTGCCGGTAGCACCGTGAGTGGCTGCAGAGGGTGAGCTGAGATGAATGCGTTCACTGTTGTGGTGCCGTTTGCTGACAGGCTAGCGCTGAAGTAAAATGCGTAGCTGCAGGCAAGAAGTATTTGGCCTGAGCTTCTTCAGGGCAGAGAGCTGAACGTGTGAAATAGCCAAGCCCGTAGCTATTGGCTGAGTTGACAACATTATAATAAAAAAAAAAAAGCATTTAATCTTCTACCGAACACATACTTGGATTGTTCTGCGCATTAGAAGTGCCTTGAGCTTCCTTCAGCTAGGAAAGCGAAAAGGAGAATGCAAAATATTTTTGCTTCTAGTACCAGAAAATGCATATAGGGTACGATGGGCCTGTTTTAGCCTTCATTAGCACAAGCAGTGGAAGGATGGGCAGTGGGAATGCTGATGAGATTAAACTGCTGGCGCTTTCAGGGTCACAGCCAAGGAAAAGCAAAGCAGCAGTATAAATCTCATCGTACTTTGCCACTGTGTTATTGCAGTTCAGTCCTTTGGCTAACAATGAAGTTAAGATTCCCCCCTAATTCCTGCCCATCCTTTCCTTTAAAGAAGCATGTATCAAAACTGACTGCGTGCTTCTGGCATCCTCCTGTGAAAGTAGGCGTGAGGGATCCCAAATAACTGCGAGCTGGTTCTCAGACTGGAATTTGTTTGCTTACTGTCCATGTGGGTGGTAAAATGTCCATAAATGTTTTAGCACAGTCTCGTTTGCTCTCGGTTTCGCTACAAGATTTACCACTGCTCTGTCAGTCCAGCAGCAGCGTGGAGGGTTGCACATTCAGAAGTGGAAAATGTTTTGGGGAGTAGTCAGTACTTAGCCATCAAAGGGCAAGTTGCTGCTAGCTGAATGTGACTGGACCGAGAGGTGGACAACTCCAAACAGGGAACAACACGGGGAGAAGATGTTGGGTGCTGCGGGTGACATCTGGCAATGCAGTGTGACTGCTGTCCTCGGTTCTCAAGCTCCGCTGTATGGTGGTGGGTCCTTCTCTTGAGATCAACCCCCTTTGTCTTAACAAAGCGTCTTAATTACACATTTTGTCTTCACAGCACATTTCGAAGGCTTGGAGGCATTTTGTTCAGTTTCCCGTTCTGTCATTCAGCCTTGTGTTTGTCTGTAAAAGTCCCTGATGCTCCCACTGTGCGGGCTGCTCTTCTGTTGGGTGCTGCAAATACAGCACAGCTAAACCTGCACTTCACCACTGAGTCAGCTGCTTTGTCTCTGTGTCCATGGGTGTGTGCCTCCGGGCCTTTGGCTACATCACACACAAACATTTTTGGTACTCATGCGCCTTGTGTGTGGCATACAGGCTACTGAGAAGTCAAGGTTTTGGGGAAGGGATGTGGCAGTATCCACCGGCAAGAGAGCAGAGTGTGGCCAGCCACTGGGAATGCTGTTGACATCTTTCAGCCCATTTTTTAGTTGTGTGCTGCACATGGTTTATAGAAATATATTACTTCTGGTGTAGTAGAAAACTTAAATGATTCTTATGGGATATGTGTGTGCGCACATGCTCATGCAAGAGGTGGTGAGGTTGTTTCCAGTCTTCTGTGTAGCAAACCGACTCTTACCATTAATTTGGCTTTAAAAGGTCTGAAGAGACCTCTAAATAAATGACCTAAAATAGCATTTCTGTAAATAGTGCCATGTCTCAGCTTTGTTCCGCAGCTGTATCTGTGTGCTGGGACCTGCAGGGTTTCTGCATGTCTTCCTTCTCAAATCCTACCAAGGTTTTTCTTCAAGCATTACAACAATGAATGAAATGCAAATATAAACTTTGAGCTCTTTGTAAGAAGCCGTTTGCAAGGACAAGAGTGAATCTTTCCCACCCTGGGTCTCGGCAGTAATTTGAGCAGGAAGTCCTGTGTTTAAGTGCAGTGGGACTGAAACATTTTAATGAGACATCCATTTCTTTTCCATGTCAGTTTGATGCTGCTCAGAGGTCTGGAGCAGCGGGGTAGAAAGAGAACAAGCAAAGGGCAGAAAAGGTAGCCAAAAAATGCAAGCTAAACATTTATGGTGCAATTCTCCATGAGTGAAACTATGTCTGCCTGGATCCACAAGTTGATATCAGTGAAGGATATGGTCGAAACATAACATGAAACATGATATAAATAACCTAACGTTAACATAACATAAATTCTAGGGAATATGGGATCATAAGGAATGATCCTAGTGAGAAATTCTGTTGTTGTTTCTCAGTCAGAGGCCTAATTTATATTAAGAGTTGATGAGACTTTCCCCTTCTGTCTTGCCCCCACAGATTTCAACGTCATCCAGATCACGGATGCAGTGCCTGATGCCAGCAGTCCACCTTTTACATGAAAACAATTAGTTAGTGTGTGATGGCTTGAAAATGCTCACAATTTGTTTGCTTTCTTCATAGGCTGGAATGGTGCTGAGATGTGGATACTTCTGGTTCGGCTTGTTTCTCGTGCCCACTGCGTGCCTTCTTAAAGATGTGGCATGGACAGCGTAAGTCCCGAACCAGTCTTCTCCGTGTTGTGGCAATTATTCTGCATGCACATGTTGTCCAGTTCAGTCTCTGTCATTCTGTAAAGAACTGTGAAGCCTTCTAGTGAATACAAAATGGTGATACTCATTTGGAAGACTTCTGAGCAAAGTTAAGTGGGAGCCTTTTCTTGATGGCCAATTCAATGAGTGATGTGAGGGAACAAGTCCTGAATCTGAAGGAGGCAGCTTTCCTTTAGTAATTAAGATTTCTATCTAGATTATATGTATTGCTTACTCTATAGGTAAAGACAAATTCAGTTGAGACATGAGATCTCTTATTCCTAAAAGGGAGCCAATAATTTGTTCAGTTAGATTAAGGTTAAGTGGGGAGACCCAAAAAAAAAAAAAAAAAAAAGGTGTTTCTCCAGCCCATACCCTGTAAGCTCCCAGTTTGTCAGCTGCTTTCTCAGTTCACCTAGCTGGGTCTTCCAAGATTCAGCTGTGAGGAGAGCAGTACTCACTGGACTCTACAGTCAGTCTTAGTGATTCCTTCCCTGCCTGGAGAGGAGGAACAAACCTTGTGAAATACAATCCTGTGTAATCCCCAAAGCTTCTCAAAACTCTGTAGTTTCAAACCACTGCAGAAAATAAGTAATTTCAAGAACTTTAATGTAAAGGGAGGCTACTTATACCCTCTCTACCACTGGAATTCGAAATGCACAAGAATCCTTTGCAGATAGAATTGTCAATGTTTTGTTTAGACTGTTTTTTAAACGCCTTAAGCATTTATCCTTTCCCTTGGAAGGCTGTGTTACAACCAAGATTTTTTCTTTATGGAAATGGTTTTCTGTAGGCTAAAGGAATTGCTGTCTTGCTGAAATTATTTTCTAGTGACTAGAAATTCCCATTGCATTAGAAGAGAGGCAAAGAAAGCATTTATTTTGCTCTCTTAACCATGGGCAGTGCTATGCTTCATAACCTTGTACAAGGAGGACCCAGGCCATTCCAGCTCAGGCAAAACAGAGAGCCCAGCTGCTGTGAAGAGGGAATATAGGCTAGCGTGTCACTTGTCATGAAGGCCCGAAGTGAAAACTTAATAATATGTAACACGTAGCTCCAGGAATGAGCTGTCAATTAGCCAAGGAAAATCCCTCTTTTATTTAGGGAGAAATACAGCAAATACTGATAAAAACAGAATGTTTGCCAAACACAGGTACATTTCAAACATCAGCATAAAAGGGTAAGTCAGGTAATAGACATACATCTTTTTTTCTTCCTTTGGGGCTGATAGCACAGTTAAATTAAGCAACTGTTAGGCAAATCTACCCATCATTAAGTACTTCTTATATGCTTTCATATTTTCTTCCTCAGCTTAATTTTCATGAGCTACACAGCTAAAATTAAAACTAGGTATCATAATGTAAAATATCTGTGAAGGCCAAACTCTGATTTAATGGTCTAGCATACTAGGTTTTGTTTGTTTGTTTGTTGTTTGTTTTGTTTTTGTTGCATTCCTTAAGCTTCTCCAATTGAAAATCATTTTAAAAATTCTAAAGCTGAGGCCAAAATGTTTGAATTTGGATACTTAAGT